CAAGGCCCTTGAGAGAAGAGAATGTCTGGAAAGGAGAAATAGAGGGGCGAGGGGCAAAGAGCATGGAGCAATTGGGTCAGATCATGTGGGAACCTATGGTATTCTTTCTCAACTGTTATTTTTCTTCACAGAATTTATATCACTAGATAGTAATTGAATGTTCATCTTTTTATTTATGAAGTATTTTTCTACTGCACCATAAAATAAGCTGCCACACTAGGAATAATTTTAATGGAGAAATTAATATGTGAAGAGGAGGGGTCGATATGATGCTAACTATGAAGAAAACAGAAAGGGCTGTTGAATTTGATATAAGGGCATTTACTTGTTCAGCATCCTTTATGAGTCCTCAATGATAATGTGTAGTTGGGGGAGAGGGGAGGAAGAGAGGGTAAGAAGCCAGATAAAATGATGTCCTCCAGTTCCTAAATTTCCTAACAACACTTAAATTAGGTGCTACACAGCCACTTGTGCTATGCTCCTTTTCCACTCTAACTTATTCATGTATTGTCTATCTTCTCATTTTGGAGTCTCAAGGAAATCTGACTTCTGGTAAGTTTCTCCCTGATCAAATCACCTTGACTTTGCTTTCCTCTTTGGTTTGGGGCTCTTTAGAGCAATTTGAGGTTCTTTTGAACCATTTGGAGTGGCTGCCATTTGGTGACTGGCTTTATTTTTTGGAGCTCTTCTGTTGAATTCTTTGGACTATCCTTAAGTAGAGAAACACAGTTACCTCAACGGTGGAGGAAAGAGAGATTTCTTGAAGGCATCGGGGAAACTGACCATAACTCAAAGTAGGCATCAACTGAGACATGGTTAGGTCTCTTTTGTCCTGGGTTTGTATATTTTAATTCTCAAAAAAAGGGGTCTATCAGGTCTAGAAAGGAACATGGCTTGATTTCTTCAGGCTATAAAGTCTGACTTTCTAGAGTGACCAATGTCTTAAAGGAACAGGCCCGTAATCTAACAATAATGTCATTTGTAGGATAGGCCTTGCCAATTTGGAAGCTCTTTTGAGTAAATTTGGAGTTCTTTTGAATTATTTGGGGCATCTGCCATGTGACAAGAAAGGTCTGGGGCTCTAGAGCCACTGGTGTTTGTTGAACCATTTGAGATAGAGATGTAACTCTGAAAATAGTGTGTTTACTATTGGTGCCCTGTACAGAGACTTGTAGCTGACCAGTCTTTTGTAAGTTTGGACAGTTTCTAAGACAGCATTGGGGCATAAAACAGTCTCTGTACCTAGAACTCCTAAAAATAACTGAGTAAGAAACCTCTGTCAACTTCTGCATTTCTTTTTATTTCCTTTCCTTTTTGAATTTAAGTTCATTGTATGCTAAAATTTATAACTGGTGTGCCTGAGTATTTGTGTGTGTTTGTGATTTTTGGACTATTAAAAGCAACTCGTTCTGTGCTTGCTTTATGAAGCTCGCTAAAATGCAAGGATTTAGATACAATTTGAATTTGGGACTTAGAGGAACTGTTTTTATTTAACTTTACCTCAGCCGGTCTTGTCTAAAATAATAATTAAAATGTTAACTTTAATATTACTTCTTAATGATTTTGGTCTGGTATTTTTAAATGTTAATTTTGGAAACCGAGGCTGAGAAAAAATTGATTACAGGATTTAGGAGAGTTAACGTAATGATGGTTAAAAATATTATTAAATGCTCAGAAAATTTCTATGCTGTTTTTTGCTAGGCAAAGTCAAAATGTAAAATTAAAAGATTAATTTTAAGATTGACCTTTATGCTAGGGTATTTTTGCCTTGGTCCACTTAAAATGTACATTTGTCAATGTTGTGAAATGGGCTAATTTGTGCTGTGGAATAGTTGTTAAGAGATAATCAATCGTGTTGTTAATAATATCATAAAAGTATGTATTTTAGTATTTAAATGTATTGCTGGGCAATTAAGGTTTCCTTTTATGGGATCTGAATCCTGATGATATGGGAATTTGGAAACAGTCCTTAGAAGAAAACTTGAAGATCATTGAGTTTGAGAGAGGGGCAAAGAAATTTAGACTCAGAAATGGAGATCTACACAAAGATTCATGGAGGAACGAGGTCTTCAGAGAGTGAATAAAAATGTCCAGTGTCAGGACAGGCATGCTTGGGCTTTTGTTCAGTAACAGAGCTGGAAAGGAGAAAAAGGGAAATTTGGAGCTTTAAAAACGACGAGCTTAGCAGTAAAGATCTGTAAATAACTGCATTAATAGAGGAGGCAAGAGTATATAATGTAACAATCTTTGGGAAAGATTGGAGTGTTATGTCTTCACCCAGGATGAGAGATAGAATTCAGACTTTATTCTTTTGACAAGGGTAAATTAGCTTTCTCTTAATGGGCCTTGTCCTAGCTCTGATAGGTCCACTCCCCCTTCCTTTGGTATAGCATTTTGTGTCTTGGGAAAGAACAATAGTAGTACTTCCCTTCATGCATATGTTGCATGAGAAATTCTATTTGCGGGGAGTCTATTCTTTCAATAGTTTGCTAGTCAAAGAGGGGAGCACAAGTGTCTCTTTAGAATATATTCCATAATTCATTCCTGTCAGATGGGCTACGGTATTTTGCTGATCCATTCATTCCTTGGATAACTGGCAAGTCTCACCCTGCTCACTGCCGACATAATTACAGTTGAGGTGTCTTAAATCTCATGCCAAGACTTAACTATAATTTCTTTTTCTATGTGGGAGATGCTGTTTCATGTTTTAAGTAAAAATCTTAGGAGATATTCCCAAACTGCAGCATACAACCTACAGTTTGGCCCAAGAGACTGAAGAAGATAAGGAAGGACTTTGTAAGGTTTTTAAAAATGCATAGAGAATGTCCTTAAAAAGACAACTGAATGTTTTCTCACCTTGAACACATTCAGATCCTTGACTAAAACTGTATTATAAGAGAAGATAGTATCTTACTAAATCAGATATCTAGAATGTTATTCATAAAAATAGTGTTATTCATAAAAATAGTGTAAGCAGTGAATTTATCAAAAAGTATTTTAAATGTTTCTCTACTTTCAATCTGAAGAATAAAAAAAATATAGCAAATGAAAAGAAATTTCTCTCACCAAAGAGATGGTAGATACTTATATAAGTAGTATCTGTCAGGCAGGAGAGAGGGCAGACGTCATTCTGTGTGGGCAAAAAGCCCTAACAAGGTAGAGCTAAAAGCAGCCACTTGAACAATAGGATGCAAAAGTAATTAATTTTGTGAGGCTGTGTTAAGAGCACGCACAAGAAATGTTGTTTGCTGGGAGTGGTGTCATTGTTGTTCATATTAAATTCATCCATTGGACAACATCTTGTCTTATTTCATCATAAGAAAAAAATTACCAAGGAAATTTAATACATTGTGAACAGGGACATCATACATTAAAGTGGTTATAACTACAGGCATGAAAAGTTTTCATAAGCTTATCTTTTAGTTACTGTTGACTGTTGTGGAAAATAGTCTTATGCTGCTTATAAACTGCTCCAAAATTATTTAGTCCAATCTTTTACACATCATGTAGTTTTTCTTTAGATATCAGAAGAAAATCTTAAATTTTATGCAATTTCAGAAATACAGTAAGGCATACATTTTAAAGTGACTTTAAAGATTTTTGCAAATGAACCTTTAAAAACATGCATTTTTTTTCCCTCTGAAATGGACAACAGCAGATTAAAAGCAGTTTGCTTGCCTCTGCCGACAAGGCTCTCCTTTGTATTTAGAAAAGAGTAGTGATGGACAGCTGCAGTTACACTGTTGCTAGGCTGCAGGTGTGCCCATTAAACCTTCTTCCAGACAGCAGGGTTTCCAGAGTGCTATGTACAAATCCACCTTTGATTCCTGGAAGGGAGGAAAAAGGTAGCTAGGCACTGTCTCTCTAACATGGTTGGTTAGCAGGTGGGTGGTGCAAGAAAGGAAGGAAAACGTACAGTGAATAAGCTTCAGTAAACAAGACAGCCCCATGCCCAGAGAGAGGACACAGTTGTGTCTCAGTGTGCATTTGGGGGGGAGGTCTTCAGAACAGGAAATAGAGAGGAACTTTGCCTTATTTCTGCTTTCTCCATTTAAAAAAGTTAATTTTTTAATCACCTATTTTTCTATCTTGAGACAGATTTACAAAATACACAAAGGCAATATCCTGGGTTTCTTTCCCTTTCCTTTGAAAGGGCAGGCACATGTTCATCTATTCCCTCCTCCCCATCCCCTTGTCCCCTGTCCCTCATCTCATCCAACGAACTGTCTTCTGGTGTTGTTTGTTTCCTTTGAGTCTTGTAAAATAGATCTTAGAATGTCATCAAAGTGGTTTATGAGGTCATGAATGCTATCCCTAACCCCCTCCCCACATATGTCCACCCCTCTACATCACACATGCACTCATGTCAGGTGCCACCAAACCGCTGGTTCCTGCAGTCAATACACTAAGACTCAATGGCCCCCTTTAGGCAGCTTCTGTGGGATTGTGTGTCAGAGGAGGAGCTAGCCTCTTCTCCAGTGATCCAGGTGAGCTCCCCACCCTCCCATCTGCTTACCCACCATACTTTGGTGCTCTAGAACCCAGCTGCATCCTCTCCAAATTTTCCTTGCAGTGATGTGCTCCTATTCTCTGTTCCATGCCATGACGACTGGTGTGATGAGCCTCCTCCAAATGACACAGGTTTCATGTTTATTCCTGGTGCATCAAACACTTATTTGTTGGAGACATCATTATAGCCATGTAAAGATTTTGGAAATAAATAGCTCTGTACAAATCTTTTTCCAGAAATTCTAAGAGTAAGTGCGACATTGAAAACACAGTCATCCTTAAGGTGCTCAACAATGTCATTTTCTCTGCCTACCAAACACTCCCTCAGGAAACACTCCACCGCTTTGCCCCTGGCATCCCCATGGTCTCCCTTCTTTGATACCGGCTCTGTCCTTTAAGGACTTTGATCAACCCAATAACATGTCCTATGTTTTTGTACAGTTTTAAATAGAGAGCTTGTTTTTCAGGTTTGGAGTAAAAGCAGCACTGAGAGTAAAAGCAGCACCAATGTTTCATTGAAACAAGAAAAACAGGAAGCTCCTCTTATAACCAAAGGTAAAGAATAGATGCACTATAGTTTGAACACCGTTTTCAATATGATACTTGACAGTAGAGACATAGATCAGGAGTTTGTCTGAAATTTGGGCTTAAAAAGAACACATTTATTATTCTTGAAATAGGGGGAAGGGTAGCAAGAGGATGCTTTTGACAGGACAGAGAGCTACTTCCTGGCTGGAAACAATGTCCCCCGACTGTCACAGTACCTGAAAGCCACACAGGCTTGTGTTACTCACATCAGGTTCTCTTTGGGATTTTGACAATTTATCAGGTCTCTAATTTTCAAAATCTGTTTTAATGCTATAATGACATTCACCAATTTTCAGTCTTCTTATCCTGTTCCTGCTTTCCATGAATCCTCTGAGATCCCTATGAATACCTTCAGAAATTGATTTATTTGTAGTTTCTCTCCATGAGATGTAAAGTATTTCAATAAGACTTGAACTTATCAAAGCAGAAATTTGCCATCTGACAATATCCAAGCAACAGTAATGTCCTCACAGTAATGTCCCTCCTAGAAGCCATTCAGCATTACCACTGCGTTTGTCTTGTATTATACTGCAGTTATTATACATTCTCTTTTAATAATCCATCATTGGGCCCAAGCAGAACATTATTTTTATCCTCATTGTCCTTTTTGAGACATGGTTGAAGGAGTTTTGTAGAGAGAGAGATATCCATGCTCCCTCCCCCCCTCCCCCCCAGGAAGCAAGTTTATTGGTCCTGACACTGATTCAGGATTCCCCTCCAAAGTCTGAGCCCTGAGTATACTAAGGTTGTGCCTTGGACGTCATTCTAGCCTCTTTGCCTCCCTTACATGGTAACATCCATTCTGAATGGGTACACTAAGGCCACAGGGCTATGACATTAACCACACTGTCTTTTCTTTGTTCTTTTTCCTGGCCAAGGAACTCCTACCCAAACATGGTCTCACTATGTAGCCCTAGCTGGCCTCCAACGCTGGGATCACCTGCCTCTGCCTCCTGAGTGTGGGGATTAAAAGTATGTGCCACCATGCCCAGCAAATATCCTTATTCTAAAGTTTCAGAGACTTTCTCAGTCTCCTTAGTGACCCTCATTGTGCATATACGCCATCGTTTGGGGGTAACTCTCAGCAGTGACCTTTCCCTTCCTGCATACATTGTTGCTTAGGTAAGCTTCTCAGCTGACCATTCACAACCTCATGTTTGAACTCATCCTAAGAAATCACAGTTTTCCTTTTCAGCTTAATTGGAATAATTTGTGATTCCATGTTAACCTGGTTTGGGGTAAAAGACTTAATTTTAAAGCCAATCTCTCAATTTTAAAGCCAGTCTTTAAAATTGTGTGTTTCCAACACAACTGCTTTACAATCAAGTATGGTTCCAACTTTTTTATGGAAAAATTATTAATGTAATTTTGATCTTAAAATTAATACTTAATTTCAAATACTCATTCTGGATTTTGCAGGGACAAATTACGAAATATTTTCAAATTATTATAATTATGAATTAGTTGACTGTTGAGTTAAATTACTTTGAATACAAGTCAGTGAGTGAAGCAAGTTGTGTTAGCTGTGTGCTTAGACAACTGCTGTCTATCTATTGTTGTCTTTTTTTGTTTTTCTTAAAAGAATTTGACAGGTTCTCAGCTACTCACCCACCATCCAATACTTCCACTTCTTGCTCTCCTGTTCCACCTGGCTTTCAACAGCACTAAATAATGACAGTGGTCAGTTTTCTGAAACAAAGCATCTGGATGGTCATAACAAAGAATTGTAGAGCTACATAGTAAGAGAACAAATTGACTTATTGCTTGCACTGTCTCTAGGATATGCTCAACTAATCCATGGGCCACAATTGCACATAGGAATTGTGGACTCAACATAACCTATCATTCTGAGTTTTTCTGAGTGAGAAGACCACCTACAAATTGCAGGTTACTTCCGACTTTAAGGTTCAACTCTACTGGAGAGACAGTTTTCATCGGGGCCTGTCAGAGTATCTTTGAACCTGAATTCACAGTGAAAAGAGAAAAGATAGGTGGTCCTTTTAGCAGAAAGTGGAGAGAGCAGGGACTCTAAGGAGCTTGTGCCAGGTATCCACATACTTGTAGCAAAAAGTAAAGAACTATAGGAAAGAGGTTGCAAAGGCTCTTAGATTATTAGATAGTCTGTATATACTTTATTAAAAAGTATTATGTTACCCCAAGAATATATTATAAAGTGCCTTAAATTGGTATAATTTCTATGGATGTTTAATACAAATTGTAATTCTACACAGGTAGTTAGTGAGCGAATAATTCTTTTGTTACTACTTACTGATTTGTCATTGTAGGAATCTGATTGTCTTTATTTTGTCTGTGTTCTTTTGAAGAAAAACAAGAGTTGTACAATGATATCCCAGTAATGAAGAGAAGCTCTTCAGTACTTATACAGAAAAGGTGAGTATACTATAATTATACAAATTCCAAGTGATGGTAATTACACTGTTGAAAAGTAATTATCAATGTTTAGCTTGAAGAAGAAAGAAAATAATAGCAACAAAGGGAATTAAGAAAGACACCACATTTTACAGGTGAGACTAGAAAAGGTAGACATTCACTTTTTTTGCAAACCTTTTCTTGTCTTTTGTGATGATTTGGGAATAATGAAAAGGAGCAGGCTTAACTTTGTACTCACAATAGGGAACCAATTCAAATTACTGTAATGTCACCAAAGAAGTGAGAGTCACATGCATACAGGGGAGGCCTGTGAAATCGTAGGAATGATATTTTTCTCTATAGCTTATTAACTTATTGTCAAACATTGTTATAATTGCTACAATCCTTGTATTCTAGAATTTCCTTGAAAATTTTGCCACTCTGAAAATCAACTAGATATTTTAGGTATATGGTAGAATTAGAAGGATGTTTTCAAGAAAATTAACTCATTCTTTACTGCAAACGTGCCTAAGCTGCCTTCCAGGCATTCACATTCAGGTGTGCTGAATCCAAATCCTGTGCTCTTTGTACAGCAGTGTTTTGATTTAAGGGTGAGAAAAACAGAAGAGCTTTCTTTTTCCTTCCCTTGCTGACAGAGTAGTTGCTCCAGTGCTCAGTTCAACTTTGCCTGTCTACTCAAAAGTCTTCCATAGTTCTATCACTTTCAAGGTAAAATTTAAACTTCTAGCGTGACACAAATCATCCTGACTCTGCCCTCCTTTTAACCCCTACATTGTTTCCCAGAGGTTCTAAATTACAGTGTCATTATATCACTTCTCTGTCTATACAACTTCCTGTCCTTAAATGCCCTCTGCCCGTGTATGCCATCTGCCTTGCAGTCTCACCTGGGTCTTAGATCAGCGTTCTCTTCCTTGAGGCCTCCCTAGCTCTGTCAGGCAGATATGGGTATCCACAGAGCTGTTGCTGCAGTGACCAGACAGCATAACACTTCCTTCAGCTTCCATGACTACAGATTCACACAGGTTATCAGGCTTGGGTGGCAACTGTCTTTACTGGCTGAGTCATCTTGCCCGCCCCACATGCAGGTTTCTTGAAGAGGATATAGCCTGTATTCTTCAACTCTAAGTTTCTTGAGATGTTTTTTTGATTACTTGTCCAAAAAGGCTACTCACTGTGACAAGTCACACTTTCACTGTGAAATCAGCCTATTTTTTATTTTCTAAAGCACTCATTACTGTTTAAGTCTCTCACTTATTCATTGATTTTTGCCAGTTTCATTCTAACTTGATTCTCCCTCTTTTCCATGAGACGCTAACTCAGGTCTTGAGAATGAGGATCTTTTCATTCTTATGTCTGTAGTAGCCAGAATGGCACCTGACTGTAGTAGGCTCTCAATATTTGTTGACTGACTAAATGATACAGTTTTCCACTAGTGCTTTTACTAGGCCTTTTCATGAGTAAGGTATTAATATAGAAATATTGTGAAATATAAGTTAAAATTTAAAATCCATCCAGACACTAAAACATAAGTGTGTGTGTTATTTCATACATTACTTTTAGTTCTTGTTTAAAAAATTATTTTTATTATTTATGTCTATGTATGGGTGTCTGTGTGAGTGAATGTCACATGGGTCTGGGTGCCCCCAGAGGCCAGAAGAGGGTGTCAGACACTTTGAGCTGGAGTTACAGGTGATTGTGAGCCACTTGATGGGTGCTAGGAACCAAACCTGGGTCCTCTGGAAGAGCAGCAGGTATTCTTAACTGCTGAGCCATTTCTTCAGCCCAGGCACTCTTAGTTCTTCTTGAAGTTTGTTGTTTTTTTTCTAAAACAGTGTTGACTCAAATTAATATGAATTTTAGTGACTCAAATTAATATGAGCAATCTTAATAGAAGAAATTGATCAAATGCAATACTAATGGTGCTGATGATAAAGATGATCATAATAACAGTAATTATTAGGTAGTGTTTGCTGGACATTTCTAATACTGAGCATCAAGCTAAATTCTTTGCATATTTCATTCAGTCCTTAGCATAATTCTGTGATGTGGGCCCTGTTATTTTTTTTCTCATGGTTCTAGGTAACTGCTATACTGCTTACTGAGCAAGGTAAGCCCTATCAATATTTGGCAGAAGAAGAAACATTCTCCTGTGCTGTGGCATAGCACATTTTACCCTCCACTCCCAACACTAGAAAGAATTTACAATAACCTTAAAATGGATACTAAAAATCCTTAAGAAAAGTTTAGCATAAAAGGGGTTATAATTAATGAGCTTTCAGACATTGTGCAAGTTTTCTTTAATAGATGATTAAGAATTAGTTTATGTAATGCTCTTAATCTTAAAGCAGTTAGCTGGAGTAAGACAGTATCATTAATGCCAAGGAACTATAGATGCTCCATGTGATGTAAATGATTATCCAGCCTTAAAGGCCTTCCCAATACAAGTATGAGAAACTCCCCAGAGCTGAAATTTGAGGAAGTCTGCATGAAAGGATTTAAAAAATTTTTCTTGCTACTTGAAAGTAAAACTGCCTCATCGGACCTCCCTACCCATCCAACCTCTGTCCATCTTCCCTTCTCTTAGTTTACCACCTTGGGCATCTTGTACTGTTGAGTTTCCACCAAACCAAGAGCTTTCCTCCCTTATCACACTGCATTACTTTTATGCATCCTCACTCTTTTTTAAAAACTTGTATCAGATCACCTTAGTCTTGTGTGTGAAACCTTCCCGTGGTGGTACCTCCTCCACTTAAGGACGCTCAGTTTCCTCCTCAAGGCCGCAAACCACCATCTCTTCAACCACAACCCTTTCCCTCTGCTTCCTGTTTACTGGGTCCCAACTTCTTTTTCTCATTCTTCTTGCCAGCCCCGCCCCACTTTCTCCCCCAGGACATTACACATCCTTTGGAACACTTGTCCTTCAAATCCTCACTACATGTTTCTCTTACTACTTTGTTCCTTTGATGTTTTATTTCTGTGAATTTTTGCAAGTCTAAAATATAAGTTAAATCTTTTCTCACAAAGAAGAGATAAGTGGTAGATGATCACTGTTTTTAAGAATAAACTATCACCAGCCAGGTATGGTGGTGCACACCTATAATCCTAGCACTTTGGAAGTAGAAACTGGAAGATCAGAACTTCAAGGCTATCCACAGCTACCTAATGAGTTCAAGGCCAGCCTGGGCTACAGGAGACCTTGTCTCAAAAATCTCTAAATCAATAAAGATTTGTCATCAATTCTATTTCATTGTAGCTACCCCCAAACCTTGAAGCAATATATGCAAAGAAATGATAATTATTCTAAGAATATTTTTATATAACTAACTACATATGTGGAAACGTAAGTACTGCATTGTGATCTGTGTCTTTATTTGTTGTATATTAACATTTTGTTTGCTGCATGTAAATATTCTTGAGATTACTTGTACCTAATGTGGTTGTATTTGACACTATAAACCCCAGCTTGCCCAGTGTGGAAATGGAAGATTTAAGTCCAAGTTCTGGACACAAAGTCAATTCTGTGAGTGGTGATTGCCAAGTTCCCTCTTCACTGATGTCTTCTCAAAGTACATCCAGTGCAGAAACTGCCAGAAAACTGATGTCTAATTTAAGGTAAAAATAATTACTAATTTCTTCCACATGCTTTGTTGAACTTTCTAAATTCAGCAACAGACCCTGGTTTGTTTGTTTTTTCCTACTGATTGGAGAAGTTATTGAATAATAATGTTATTAAATAAAGTCAATAGAATGACTTTATGACCTTTACCCTGATCATATTCAGTTAGATATACCCAGACTAATAGTCCCTTGAAAGAGACTTGTAATCACTAAGTACCTAGTGGTATGTGGCCCAGCAGTATGATGGATGTACATTCATTACTTAATTCTTCCCTTGAATATAATAAAGAAGTCTTATTGAATTTGCTTGTTAATTTTTTTCTGCTCACAGATACTCATGACATTTCCATAACCATTTAAAAATCTATTTTTTGTAGTTTAGGTACTGAACTTACAGAAGGAAACTGAGTTTTGCTTTCTTGGTCAGTTGAATGTTAACATGTGTAGACAGGGTTACTTGAGAAACTTAGATATCTGAATCTCAACTCTTAAAAGGGAAGAGTCCACGAAGGAGTGAGGCCCAAGATTCAAAGAATTTGAATATAGGACAAGATTTTACAGTCAAGTCCACAGAAGACTGTTCAGGGGGCTGCTCTCGGGTAGCTGTCATAGGGGAGGCAGGGGTAAGAACAGGAGGCCCACTAACTTAATGGCCCCATTGATTTTTCTGGGTTCAAAGATCTATTGAGTGAGATGAGAAGCTTTGGGCCAGGGAGAACTTAAAACCTGCCCAACTTGAAGTGATATTCCCCTTACGACTTTTATTTTTCTTAGCAACTGACAGAATCCTTCTGAAGATGAATGTTCTCAAAGAGTAGAAGACAGGAGGAAGGGAGGAAAGGAGGGAGAGAAGGAAGAAATGAGGAAGGGAGAGAAGTGGGGGAAGAAAGACGGGGGAGCTTTTTCAAAGTCAAAGAGTAGAAGACAGGAGGAAGGGAGGAAAGGAGGGAGAGAAGGAAGAAATGAGGAAGGGAGAGAAGTGGGGGAAGAAAGACGGGGGAGCTTTTTCAAAGGCCCCAGGCTGTGTGATACAGATTCAGTTCTACAGCTGCTGGAGCTGTATGGAAGCCTCTGTGGCAGGATTGGGGTCTACAGGTCTATATTTCCTGAGCAGGCATGGAGACCCCACAAGGTATCCTTTAGGATTCATGTCTAACATCAGTCCTACCTCGGGAGATTGAAGACACTTGGTTCTAAGTAGTGGGACAAGTAGTTGATGGACCAATAAAACAAGAACACTATGCTTGCCATCATTAAATGTGCCTGAGGTGGCAAACATATAGTAAGTAATCTGTAAACAAGACAGAAATAGGACACATTCAACACTATATAGATATTCTAAGATGGTAAAAGGCTTCTAGTCCAGTGACTTGCGTGGATGGATGGATGTTAGTGTCATACTGCTGTGCGCTTCAGCAGAATGCTTGAAGAATGGGGTTCCCCAATAGTTTCTACCCTTCATCAGCATTTTTCCAGAAGACTATTTTAGCTCCTCAGCCTTAAAATTAGATGGCCATAAATTTACCTGGTTTATTTGCTTGTCATAACATTCAGGCATATCAATTGGTTACTAAGACTTGGTAGGATGCAATCAATTAAATATGTTTATATATGTGTGTATGCCTGTATATGTCTGAATAAATATGTCAATGTCATTTAACATGTGTGGATAGGATCTACAATCGTATTTGTTTCTTTATCTCATCTCACAGAGCAGCTGGAGACTTTGAAGTGTGGAGAATAATCCCTCTGTGAGGGTCACTTTGCACCTGACAACATCCTTCTCCCTTCTCACCCTGTCACATTAGGTTCAGTCTACTTCTGTTTAATTAATGCTAACTGGATAATTTAATTAAAAATGTAGGGTTTAATTTTTTTTGTCTATTCTCGTTTGATTGCAGGCAGTTTAGCACTTTCCTGTCTTATGCTAATTTTTAATATGTATTTATTTAATTTAAAAGAGCAACTTCTTTTAAAACTGACCAATTTTTCTACATGTTATCCAATATATTAGTATGTATTCAAAAAATACTTTTAACAAATGCAAAGGTGAGCTGGAGAGATGGCTCAGCAGTTAAGAGCACTTGCTGCTCTTGCAGAGGACCCACGTTCAGTTCCCATCTCCAGTGTTGGGTATTTCACAACCACCTATAACTCCAGCTTCAGGATATCTGACACCCTCTGCAGACACCTATACTCATACGTACACACACTCACACACAGACATAGACATATACACATAATTAAAAACAAAAGCAAATCTTAAAAACAATTTGAAGGGATTAATGTAAAAACAGTGAATACTATTACTTGTTATTTTCAAATAATGGAGTAGAAGGAATTGTTTTTTAAATAAATTAATAAATAAAATTAAGTAAGTTGAAACTGGAATCCAGGTGATTAAGCTTTTTTTGTTGTTTGTTTGTTTGTTTTAGTCTTTTTGAAACAGGGTCTCTCTGTAGCCCCAACTGTCCTGGCACTCACTATGTAGACCAGGCTGGCCTTGAACTCACAGAGATCCGCCTGCCTCTGCCTCCCAAGTTCTGGGATTAAAGGTGTGTGCCACCGTGCCCGGCCACAGATGAGTAAGTTTTTTTCTTTTTCTTTTTTTTTTTTTTTTTTTTTTATTTTTACTTTTTTTTTTTTTCTGTGTATGAGTATATTGCCCGCATGTATGTGAGTGCACCTGTGTCGTGCATTGTCATGGAGGTCAGAAGAGGGCTTCGGATTCCTGTAGAACTGGAGTTAAGGACGATTCATAGCTGCTGTGTTGGTGCTGGGACTCGAACCTGGGTCCTTTGCAAAGGAGTCAGAGCTGTTAACCATTGAGCCAATGGATACTCTTAAATATTAGACACAAATGTCAAGTTATTTTGAGTAAGAATACAAATGATAGTATTAGTATATATTTGGTCCATCTTTAGTATATACCAGTAACTATTCTAAGCAACCTGTTTTGCATAAGTTGATATATGCAGGAGGCTTATAAAACTAGATACTTTTACAGATGAGGAGACTAAAGCATGGAGAAGTGAAATAATTTATCCACTATTCTATAACATTTAGGTGATAAAACTGGGAATTTGACTCCTGGGCCCTCTGGTCTTACAGCCCTTGCTCTTAACTGCTAAACTCTAGTACTATGTTTGGCTTATTGGCATATATGTGAACTCGATAAGGTAGACTTCATGTATTTCATCCTCAGGAAAGCACAAGCATACTTTGTGTTTGAAAAATACTAAAATTATTTTTAAAAAGAAAGTTATTTTTTAAGATTGCTACCAATTGCCAAAGCAAAAGAAAAGGCCCCAAGATAAACAGGTATTTCAAAGCCATCACTGGATTTCTCGCTCTGTGAGGCAGAATTGAGCTGTGACCATTCCATATCAGTATTCACTGGATTGAAGAACAGACTTTTGGTCTCTTCTTCAGATTAAGAGACTTGCTGTCCTGCATCGCCAACACTAACTAATTTAGCTTAATGTGTTATTGTTTAAAAAGAACAACTGGATTCAGGTACCTTGAGGTACCCCTGCCTATATCTGTCATGTCTAGAAAAAGTACATCTTTGTTAATGCAGTTAGAGATCCTTCACATTTCCCCTTAGTGAGAACACTTACTCAGAATGTGATTATGGAGTAGAAGGGAGATGGTCTTCTCTGGAGTCTTCCAAAGCTTGGCCCTCACAGAGATGGTGCTGATGTATTTTGGTTCATGTAGCTGGACTTCATGGAAACTTCTGGAGTCTTCCATAGCTTGGCCCTCACTTAAAGAGATGGTACTGATGTATTTTGCTTCATGTAGCTGGACTCCATGGAAACTTCCAGTTCAGACTTGCATATATGGATATGAGCTGAGATTGGCATTATAGCCAAGGTCCTGGAAGCCAGTAGTAGCTCAGAAAGTGATCTTTAGGGTATTTCTTGAACTTCTGAGTAGACAGAGAATGTTAAACAAAGGTAAGTTTCTGATTTTATTATCAAATCTGAGTGTAAACTCATGAGTAAATGCTTCAGGAGAAGGGCTGTTCCTAGGTAGGACAAAGGCCCGTTGAATGGCAGCCTGTGTTTTAGGAGTCCCTGATGCACAGCATCTCCTTGATTCAGTGGCTATGAGTGAATGAACACTGGTTGATTCCTATAGTTTTTCCTTGCATGACTCCTGGCCTACCTCCTTTAGGGGCCTTTCACGAATTACATGATAATTATGTTTGTGATAAAGGAAACCTGAAGTTTTAAAAGTTGAGTGAGGTCTGAGATGATATACTCTTAGAACAAAAGAAAGCATTATTGTAGAATACTATAGAAGAAAGGGGCTCATGCCAATGACTAAAGGAAAGGGTTCTCAAGCATCTATGGTCAGATCTTACATGTATGAATTTTTGGTATCTTATAGTCTTTTTTTTTTTCTAGTGTCTCATATTTTTGTGTGTGAACTAATTTTGCAAAACAATGAGGTCTGCATGTGTGTGTGTGTGTGTGTTTAGAGACCGCTGGATAATTTGTCTTTCTCTCTAGTCAGTCTTGTGGGACAGAATCCCAAGGGCAGAGCTATTTAGCAAAAGCTCTATTTAGAAAAGCATAAGATGGAGTCCTGGAGGGAGGTCATGAAGGGAGGTCATAAAAGGTGGTACAGGGAATGGGCCCGATTGTGAGGGCATGCTCTTCACAAAAGGAAGCTTGAGAGGCTCAAAATAGGAATCCTTCTGTTGAAGAGTGTTCATAAAGCTTATATGAAATTATGCATACACAACCAGTATCTGTGACTGGCACATTTCTAGAAAGATTATGGATATCTCACCCAAGAGATTCAGATTATACTGCAAGGAACTGCATCGTTCTCCACCACATGGTGCAGGTGACCAGGAATATGTCCTTCACATATCCCACCCACTCACACCTGTCTGCCTTCTTCTCTAGCTTTGGAGTTCCCAGAATATGAGTTAGAGCCTCTCCTCTGTAGACACGTGCTTTGCTCCCATTCTCCTCTGAGCATTTATTGCCTTGTTTTGTAATAGCTGTCTTCCTAGTCTGTACCCCTCTCTAGGTTGAATCTCTGTAGTGTAAGTGGATTGGGGTCCTACCTAGGATACGAGGGCAGGCTCTGCAAAGCCCCAGAAAGCAAAAGCTGTGTGTAAGTGGGAGTTCAGGTAGTACATGGAAGTAATGAGATTTAGAAAAAACACGAAAATACAAAAGTCACCACGATTTCATAAAATCTTTACGTGAAATGTATTTAATTTAAAAATAGCATCCCATCCATCATCTCCCCTTTTATAGAAGTAATGGTGAATGTGTGTGACGTTCTTCAGAATGTGGACTTTGAAGAAGATGTCACAGGTGGAGAATGATTCGTAACTTTCTTTAACCCCACTTGCCCCTTTGATTCTCCTACTTCTCAGCAAATGCTACTGCTCATATGTTTGTCTGATAGAATATTCTTAAGTGATTGCTGATCTGTTTTGAATATAAACACAGAAGAATGTCTAGTCACCATAGAAAGGGTAGACATTCTGAAGCGGTTTCAAACCTCTGGTGGGGAAGAGGCTGGATCTTGGGACAGGGATGCTTTGTATAGAAAACTTTTTACCTCCCCTGCTCCATCGAACTGGTCATGAGGTTGAGCCATGCTTCCCTTTCCTGGGGACTCTACTTGTTTCTTTCTACACCATCTGATTTCTCCTCATTTCATCTCAAGCACCAGAAAGCTCACATTCATTCCACTCCCATTCATCTCCTTATCAGTCAGGCAAAAAATTCTGGTGCACTGTATCTGATGTTCCAGAAATGCTGAAACTTTTGAATTTAAGTCTCCTTGAAGCAATAAGTAAATGTAAATATAAACAATTTTCTTAGCATACCAATAATGTGAATGTTAAAAAGAAAGAGCTCTTTTGTCTTTGATATCATGTTAATAAAAATGGGAAATATTTTGTAAATTCTTTGCAAAGTAAACATGATGTTCTTGGAGCACATCAGAATGAAAACACTATAGACACTTTTAAGATGTGGTAGCTAAATTTCATATTCTACTAGGAATGAAGTATGTTATATAGACAATCCCAGAAAAATCTATCATACTTGTCTCAGCTTCCTAAGTGTTAAGATTACACACCTTTAATCCTAGCCTTCAGGAGGCAGAGGCAGGCAGATCTCTGTGAGATCAAGGTCAACCTGGTCTACATAGTGAGTTCCAGGCAGGCTGGGGCCAGGGAGAACCTATCAACTGATCAAATAAACAAACAAAAACGATTGCAGGCTTTGGGGGCTGGAGAGATGGCTCAGCTACTCTGGCAGAGAACTCAGGTTCAGTTCCCAACACCCACATGGCAGTTAACTACTGTCCATAACTCCAGTTCCAGGGGATCTGGTGCCCTCTTCTGATCTCTGTGGGCACTGCACAACACGGGTGTATTTACATACTGCTGGTAATATAATCATACATATAAAATAAATAAATAGATATTTTTTAAAAGATTGAAAGCTTGTGCCACCACACCAGGCCCATATATGAATTTTAAGGCTAATCCTGGAAGCTCTATTGAAAGGAATTGCTCTAGGGAATTGGGCTCCTTTGTTCTTATGGGGGAGATGAGTAGAGGTAGAGTCAGTAATTCTGTGGTCTGCCTGTTTACCTCCTGGAAGTTTTCAATGCTGAACTCTGTAGAAAAGATCAATCAGGCAGGTGCAGGTGCAGGTGTGGGCTTTCCTGGAATTTGGTTAGTTACATATTGTGCTCCTTTTCATATTCTCTCTCTCTCTCTCTCTCTCTCTCTCTCTCTCTTCCTCCCTCCCTTTCCCCCTCTTCTGGGTAGGTTTGTTATTGCTGTTTGGTGTGTGTGTGTGTGTGTGTGTGTGTGTGTGGCCTTTGTGCTTTTCGGTATGTGTGTCTGCAGTGTGTGAGCACATATGTGTGTGCAGATGCCTCTGGAGCATTGAGATTAAGGTGGGCCCAAACACCCACCCAGCATTTATGTGGCTGCTGGGAATGTGACTGCAGTGCTTATGCCTGTGAGGCCAGAGTTTGACCTCCTAAGCCATCGCCTCAGCCCCTTTTCTATTCTTTTTCCTTTCCTTCCCCTCTGTTCCCTCCCTTTTCTCCTTTTGTTTTCCTTTCTCCTTTCTCTTTCAATAAACGTCTTATTTTGAAATAACTAATACAATAAAAACATGCCATTCTAAGAAACAATACAGAAATAGAAGTGCACCTTTCGCTCAGTTTGTCTCAACTGTAATACCTTGCAAAACTGCAGAACAGAAGCACAATCAAGGTATCAGTGTTGACACAATCAAGACTCAGAACATTTCTATCACTAGGAGGCTCCCTCCAGTTGCCCTTTAATAACTATGCCCAAGTCCCTCACCCCAGTCTGTGTTTCCTGAAGGTCACTTGGATGTCAATGGCAAAAACAAAGTATTTGGTAGGAATGAATACCCATCTTTTCCAGGAAGTTTGGTACTGAAGAGACAAACCCAATTCTGACAGGCGAGGGCCACATCTCTTGTCCTGATATATTTGTTTCTGAAACTGTGCTTTCCTTAGGGAGATTCTTCTATACTTTGTTGCTGACTTTCAGCTATCATCAGAATTTAAGTGCACAGCTGTGGAAGATCTTATAGCAAGTCCTAAGGTAAGCTGACTCTCTGGGAACTCTGAATGAATGATGGAATAACTAATCTTCAGTGAAGAAAAGACTAGAGTTTTACTAGTAAGATGTAGAAGGGCTTTTAGTGGATAAAGGCGGAGATTCCATACCAGCTGGGTGACTCAGAGTTAAAGGTGCCTGAGAAATTATTGTGACCATGGCAAAATATGTGGAAAAGGTCTTACAGACTGAAAACAGTCTGTTGCAAAGACTTCCTTCTTTTCCACTAAACAGAGATTTTGGTTTTTAATTTTTTTTAAGATTTATTTATTTTTATTTTATGTATATTAGTGCTTGGCCTGCATGTATGTACGTACATCACATTCATGCCTGGTACCAGCAGAGGCCAGAAGAGGGTGTTGGATCCCCTGGAACTGGAGTTACAGATGGTTATCAGCTGTCATATGGGTGCAAGAACAGTCAGCATGGGTCCTCTGTAAGAACTGTCAATTCTCTTAACCACTGAGCCACGTCTCCAGTCCCCAGAGTTTCTGCTCTTTAGATATAGTTCATCAGCCTCTTGTAATGAAAGCCTGAGCTGAGGATTGCATAAGTCAGTCCCATTAGGTGCTCAGAGCACTACTCTTTTTAACATCACAAGAAACAATGAAGACATTGTATTTACCAAATCTCTTGCTGACAATGCCATGTATGATGGGAAGGAAAACTTTGGTCAGCTACCTACTGGGATACAGAGTGTGAAACTTGAATGGGCCCTGGTCCACTGCAGTGGAGAAGTTGCCATGGGTCTTAGTCCTGCAGACTGCAGTGATGCTGAGTGAGGAGTCCATGTTTCAGGCCAGTGGAGCCACTTCAGTGGAGGGAAGAGCCCACACAGGCAGGGGTGGAGGAGACCCCTCCTCTACCTCTATGTTGTGTTGATTATGGAATTGATGGATACACAAAAAAAGGTTCTCAGTGAAAAGAGCACACATTATTAATAGACCAGAGGTGCCCATGTGCCTCAGCTGATCCTGGGCGATGTCTCTTATTTCTTAATCTGTAACCATTGCCTTGGTCACTCCTTTACCTTTGCCCCTCATCTCAGCCTCTCTCATGGCTTCCACCCACATTTCTTAATTGAAGCTCTTCTTGTCAGGGTCGCCAGCCATCTCTGGGCTGGCAAATGCATAGTTTCTTTTCTCATTTGACATCCCAGGGGCCTTCAACCCAATTACCTGCTTCCTCCTGGAAGCACATTCTTTCATTGCCTCATGACCCCCACTTCACTTCCTCCCTCATCTTCTTTACAGTAGCTCCTTTTCACCTGCATTCTAAATGTTGCCATGGCTGAGGCCATGTTCCTGGTCCACATTGCCCTCTCTTCTACATGCCATTTCTAGGTGACACGATCTAATCTCTGACTTTTATACTCCCCATATGTCATTAACTTCAAGTTTATTTCTGTCTAAAATATCCAGACTTCAACTGCCTTCTTTGTTTTATTGTTGTTGTTTTGAGACAAGATCTCACTATGTAGTCCCAGCTGGCCTGGAACTCACTGTGTACGTCATCCAGGCTGGCCTCAATCTTATGAAGATCTGCCTGCCTCTACCCCCCAGTGTGGGATTAAACGCAAGCTTCACCAAGCCTGGCTCCAACTGCCTTCTTCGTATTTTGGATATTGATCATTTCATTTTCCTTCACCTTGTTTTTTTTTTATCTGTACATCTTTCAACAATGTTGTGTTTATTTATATAGGCTACCTTAATTATTTTTAAAAACTAAAGTCAGCTAGGTATAATTTAGTTAAGTAACTTAATTAACCCAGGCTTAGAAGAGCCACAGTGTCAGTGCTGGCCAATTCTAGGCTTCATGCTTTTTTATACTAGATACTTGAATGTTGTGACTCTGTTTCAGACATGTCACTATGTGAACTTATGCCCTTTTCTATTATCATTTATGGAAACAGCTGGAGGGAAGCCCAGAACAAATAAATGAAAAACTGAGAGCATGTTTGAACCAGGTAAGTTTCCTTTCAATGTCACCATTATAATCTAAAGTCTGATAACTCTGTTTTCTGGAGGGGAAATCATATACATTTTCAAATGTTAAGTTTGAAAGGAAATCAGATTTGCATTTAATTATAAAGACTTAGATTAACGTATAGTATATCAGATGTCATAAAGCAACATCCTTTGAATATTAAAATGCAAATGTTTCCACAACATAAAACTCAGGAAACACTGGAGTAGAACTTGATTTTGAACAAGAAATAGAAAATTCTTAGTCTTTAAGAGATACATTAAAAATCCTTGAATCTTCTGAATCCTTGAAACACTAGACTTAAAACAGAAATTATCTATTAAATTTTTAAATTATTTAAGACAATATCTCTCTGGGTTTTTTCTTGTTAGCTTCTAAGTAGTTTTTTTAAAAATCATTTTATGTGTATGACTGTTTTGTCTGCATATATGTAGGTGCACTACATTCATGCAATACTCACAGAGGCCAGAAGATGGCATTAGATCCTCCAGAACTGGAGCTCAGAACTGAGAGTTATTGGCCACCATGTGGGTGCTGAGAACCAAACCTGGGTCCTTGCGAGAGAATCCAGTGTTCTTAAATGCTGAGCCACCTGTACAGCTCCTCTCAGTAGCTTCTAATTATGAATTTATTTACATCATAAAAATCCATAAAAGTAGTTAATGCTAATAGAAGAAAGGAATGTAAAGATCCATTCACAATCCCAAACCTTCCAAGTTTACCAATATTAAATTTTTGTATTTTACTATAGCCTTCCTTTCTGTCTGAGTAAATTAAAAACACTAGTTGCCAAATAAATGCAGTATATCTGCTTTTTAAAGATTTTTCTGGGTGAGTAGGCAACAAAGAGTCCATGATATCCTTCACTTCTACTACAGAAAGAGCAAAAAAGTATATCACCTCAATTCCTTTATTTTACACTGGGAGACATGGACTCTAGTAGGTGAACTTGTTAGTGAACACAGAGAATTGAGCCAAGATAACCACAGAGGTTCCCACATTTATCATCAAGACATCTGTTGTGTGCCACATCAGCTTAGGACTTTGAGGGCACCGGGATAAATACTGAGACACTAGGTCTTTGTGAACACTCACCTCTTTCTCAGACATGTACACCAGCTCCATCACCAGCATCAACATTAGCTTCTCCTTCTTTTTCTCCAGCTTACCAGGTCATCTGGAAAACTGCCATAATATGCAAGTCTGTAATGACTCAGAAGGGCTGCCTTACCTCTTTTGTATATAATGATGTACATTTCAATACATCATTATTCTTGTTTTATTAATGAAAAAGATTGTGAATTCCCAACAGACATATGTATGACTAGGAAATTTTAGGATAAACTAGAACCTGAACAAGACTCCTTAACAAAGTCTGTGTGATAGTGTTAATTGCCAACTTGGCAAGATCTGGAATCACCTAGAAGAAAAGCCCCAGGCACACCTCTGAGGGGTGATTTAGCCTCTTGGGTGGCTATGAGGAGTTATGTAGATTATATTAGTTGAGGTGGGAAAACCTACCCTAAAGGTGGGCTGCACCATTCCCTGGGCTCCAATCCTACACTGCATTAAAAGGACAAAATTAGTTGAGCACCAGCACCGATCATGTTTCTTAACAGGTGGATGCAATGTGACCATCTGCCTCAAACTCCTGTCTCCAGGACTTCCTGCTATGATGGACTGTTCCCTTGAACTCTTAGCCAAAATAAACCCTGTCTTCCTTAAGCTGCATTTACCAGGCATTTAATCACAGCAATAGAAAAATAACTAAGACAGGCAGGATCACAAAATTCAAATTTTGAAACATGCTTAAAGTGAAAAACCCATGTTGGTGCCTAGGCTGCTGGTGTCTCTGAGTCCCTGGGAGACTGCAATAAGTATGTAGAAAATAGACTCACTTTCAGATGAGAAATAGGAGTTAGTTTTCCATTTCTCTTCAATTGAAAAAGTGAGTTTGTTTCTTTTTTTTCCTCAAGTATTTGTTGAAAGAGTAATAAGCATTTTTAGTTTGGAGCCTTTTTTTTAAGTTTTTTAAAAATAAATAATTTATTGAGAATTTCATACATGTGTATAAGGTGTTTTGATCAAACCCATGCCCACTCTATCCCCTCCAACTCCTCCCATATCTCCCCATCACTTTTTTCTGATAACTTCATGTACTCTTTCTTCTTCTTTGATTAATTTATCTATTTTTATGGGGCTTTGGCTACTGTAATATCCCCCCCTGCGAAGAGGTAAGAAAGCCTTGAATTGTGAATAGATACGAAGGAGAAGCAAAGGCAAGAGTAATTAGCATTACAAGTTCTAGACAGAGAACTAGAAAAAAGTCAGACAGGACAATTTTCAAATGTTCATATGAAAGTCCACTGGAGTTTCTTGACAAGGGCTCCCAAAAGCGTCCCTCTATTGGGTTCCTCCTCATTTTTCTTTTATCTTGCAAGGCTGGACTCTGGAGTGATGGGTTCAGGATTTGTTTTCAGGTATTTCAATAGCTGTTGGAGTGGCTAGAATCAGTGTCAGTTCCCTCTCAACGGCTTCTAGATAGGGGGATAAAACAAATTTATCCATCATTTTAGAAAAATAGCTTGTTGTCTCCCTTAGCTATGGGTGGGAACTACAGTATTAGAGACCAAGATTTGAAATCTTACATCTAAGCAGCACTTTCTGGTTAGGAACAAATTCATCAATGAGAAATAATTCTGTAAATAACTTCTTATATAGACTTAAGCCTAATGTCTTAGAAGTGTAATCCCTTGAACTCTTAAAGAAATATACTGATGACTTTACTCTTTGGTTATACTTTCCTTTTGGGTGTTTAAGACCATACAGTTGACCCAAATAAATCAATTTATTTTTACACTTAAGGCCATTTGAGGATCTGTTCTGAGGGGTCACATGGGTTTGGGAGGAGCTCCTGGCTCCTTTCTTTTACCAGTTCCATCTATGTGAAGATAGGTCAAAGATCCTGCTCAACCATGTCTGGCTTCACTTGGAAGCATGAATGAGATGTTTCCTCTGAGTTGACTCTCCTCTTTGTAGACTTGATACTGGTTCAAGTTCATCTCGTGGGGTATCCATATCCTCCCTGAACAAGAGGATAGGTGACTCACCACAGTTACAGGATATTTGGAGAGATGTTCCATAGTCCCCTGGAACTTAGTCGACCTTGGAGGGCAAGGGGCAAAAACTGTTCTTTAAGTTCCTCTGACCACATTAGTATAAGCCTCGAAGTATGGCTCTTAAACATCCAATAAGGTTAGTTTCACCAGTCTGGTACTTTTAATTATCATGTGCTTTGTAGATAAGGTTTGCATAAAAAAACACATATTCTCAGATAAACCTTGATTACTATATACTTAGTTCCTTAAACTAGTTGACTATACTATGATCATAGAAATTTTAAGATTATGTGTATATTATTTTTGCCTCATGCTTTTTATATCATAACAAACCTACACAGACCTTAATCACTTGCTTAGGCTTTCTTACTTTTTTCTATTTTAGAAAATATCCAGTTTGGAGACTTTCTTGTCAACACTTCTTACCTAGAATATATAATAAAGTTTGCCTTCAGTAAACTTTTTGACCCTATTTTAGCACTAATATTTTAACAAACTAATAAAAAGATACAGTTGATCCAGGCATAAAAATTCCCATTTCTATGTCTCTTCCTTTAGACCTCACAGTTCAGGGAGGCAGGAACTACTATCTTCAGTTTAGTAGTGAGGAAATATGGATTTAGAAAGATAATACTTCACTTCATGCTACAGCTACAGGATTTGATACTTAACCCACATTTGCCTTACTTCAAAGCTCTTCTCATACCCCTTTCATCTTATGCTGACTTACACATATTACTTCCAGTATATATATATTGAAAATTCTCAGCCTGTTGGTTTGGAATAATTGCTTTGAATTTAACAGAAATCTTGACATTACACCATTAGACATGTATGATGGAAATGCTAGCAGTGAAATCCTCACATGTGAACTGTGTGTCTGGTAGGCATGTTTGTCTAGTGTATTCCACTGGGGACTGATTATCCCAAATGAGTGTGTGACTCTTTTTTGGCTATGCACCTAAAGGACTCTAAGTCCACAGAGATACTTGCCACATCCATGTTTATTGCTACACTATTCACGATATCCAAAAAATGACACCAGATTAGATGTTAATCAACAAATGAATGAATAAACAAAATATGGCATATATACTCAATGAAATTTTATGCAGTCCTAAAGAAAAATGAAGTAACACTTTCAGGAAAATGGATGGAACTGGAAATCATTACATTAATAAAAATAAGTCAGATTCAGAAAAACAAATACTTCATTTTTTATATGTGAAACCTGGCATATATATATATAAAATATATAAAGTATATATAATATATATATGTATAAAATATATATATGCACACACGTGAGTGTATGTGTGTGAATGTGTATGTAGGTCAAATATATGTGTGTTTTATATGTGTGTGCAGGTCATGAAACTAAAAAGGAGATTATGAGAGAGAGGAAGAGATTTTAAGGGAGATGGAAAATAGAGAGAGAGCAATGGATTACATGTGATAAGAAAGCAGAAGACATTGCTTGTCACTTGAATCTTATAGCCATCATACATCTCTGGTATAAGCAATATTTTTAAGTGTATAAACCATCTATATTTTCAAGATGTAATTTTATATTTCTGCATTTTAAGAACAGTTTGGCCATAATTCTAGATGTATGCTTCTAATTCATGTACATGCACATGTGACTTTTGTGAGCAGAAATTTGTGTGTATAATTTGTGTTTACTTGTAACTCTCTGGTTATATACTGCTTATATCTGTGGATTCAAATTACTGTAGTGAATACCAATTAAAAAAATCCCTAGGCCACATTAAAAAAGACAGAAAGCAGAAGAGAGAACTAAAGAGGGAAGGAAGAGAACTAGCACCAGAGGGGAAAGCAGGGAGGGGAAAGAATGAAAACC